TTTTCAACTGTGTCTGTGATTTAAAACCATAAGTACGTAGCTAGGAATACGGAATAAAAAATATAGATTTAATGAGAACATAAAAATGCAATTCTAGGATATTGCTTACCGTAAAACCGAAAAAAAATTATGTAGTGTCCATCTACTAATTACTTAATTAATACCAAATTACTATCCATTTGCATCACCATCTCTGAATTAACAGCTGTGTCAAAAACAATATTAATAATAGAAAAATTAAAAAAAAATTGAAAAAAAAAGAAGGTGGTGGTCTTGGATCCAGATCTTCTGCTTTTCTTCTATAAACAAAACATGGGGTTCCTCCCTCAACAATCCCAACACAGACCAACTCTTCTCTTCTATCAGCAGCAATGCCGGCTCCTCTAAGGAATCTCCTACTTTCTTCCAATATCTTCTCCTTCACTCTACTTCTATCCATAAACTCTCTTTTCTTCCATTCTTGTCACTCCATTGATGAGCAAGGCCAAGCTCTTTTAGCATGGAAGAACAGTTTAAACACCTCCACAGATGTGCTAAGTTCATGGAATTCTATAGACTCAAGTCCATGCAAATGGTTTGGGGTCCATTGCAACTCAAATGGCAACATTATAGAGATAAACTTGAAAGCAGTAGATTTGCAAGGCCCACTGCCTACAAATTTTCAGCCTCTCGTCTCCTTGAAAAGCCTTATCCTTTCATCAACCAATCTTACTGGTGCAATCCCGAAAGCGTTCGGAGATTATCTTGAGCTTACTCTCATTGATCTTAGTGATAATTCTCTCTCAGGGGAAATCCCAGAGGAAATATGCAGACTAAGGAAGCTGCAAACTTTGTCTCTCAATACAAATTTTCTCGAAGGGGCCATTCCTTCTGATATCGGTAACCTCTCAAGTCTAGTGTATCTGACTCTTTTTGACAATCAACTCAGCGGAGAAATTCCGAAGAGCTTTGGAGCATTAAGAAGATTACAGATTTTTCGAGCAGGTGGGAATAAAAATCTCAAGGGTGAGCTGCCTCAGGAGATTGGAAACTGCACCGACTTGGTTGTTTTAGGCCTCGCCGAAACCAGCATTTCCGGGAGTCTTCCTTCATCAATTGGGATGCTGAAAAGGATTCAAACAATAGCCATTTACACAGCACTCTTGTCAGGTGCTATCCCAGAAGAGATTGGCGATTGCGGTGAGCTGCAGAACCTGTTTCTGTATCAGAATTCTATGTCTGGTCCAATCCCGAGGCGAATTGGGGAACTCAGCAAGCTTCAGAGTCTGTTCTTGTGGCAGAACAGCATAGTAGGGGCAATCCCAGAAGAGCTTGGAAGTTGCACAGAGCTTACAGTCGTTGATTTATCCGAGAATCTTCTAACAGGAAGCATACCGAGAAGTTTTGGAAACCTTTTGAAGCTTGAAGAGCTTCAGCTGAGTGTTAATCAGTTATCAGGTACCATACCTGTTGAAATCACAAATTGTACAGCTCTCACTCAACTTGAAGTAGACAACAACGAAATCTCCGGCGAGATTCCTGCTGGTATTGGCAGCCTAAAAAGCTTGACTCTATTCTTTGCCTGGCAGAACAATCTAACAGGCAATATCCCAGAGTCCCTTTCCGAGTGTGAGAATCTTCAGGCTCTTGATCTTTCATATAACAGTCTTTTTGGTTCAATACCAAAGCAGATTTTTGGATTGCAGAATCTCACCAAGTTACTGATGCTTTCCAATGATTTATCTGGCTTCATACCGCCCGATATAGGAAATTGCACCAACTTGTATAGGTTGAGGCTGAATGGCAACAGGTTAGGAGGTACTATTCCATCGGAGATCGGGAACTTGAAGGTTTTGAATTTCCTTGATTTGAGCAGGAATCTTCTTGTTGGAGGAATCCCTCCATCAATATCTGGATGTCAAAATCTTGAGTTTCTTGATCTCCATTCAAATGGGATCACTGGTTCTGTACCCGATACTGTGCCTACAAGCCTACAGTATGTAGATTTTTCAGACAATAGGCTTACAGGTTCGCTGACTCATCGCATTGGGTCATTGACTGAATTAACCAAGCTTAATTTGGCAAAGAATCAACTTTTAGGTGGAATTCCAGCAGAGATATTGTCATGCAGCAAGCTACAATTGCTTAACCTTGGAGACAATGGTTTCTCTGGAGAAATTCCGAAGGAACTCGGTCAAATCCCAGCACTGGAAATATCTCTCAATCTTAGCTGCAACCAGTTTTCCGGCAAGATCCCCTCGCAGTTCTCTGGTCTCAGCAAGTTGGGAGTACTTGACATCTCTCGCAACAAGCTTGAAGGAAGCTTAGATGTTCTTGCAAATCTCCAAAACCTTGTTTCCCTTAATGTCTCCTTCAATGATTTCTCTGGTGAATTGCCTAACACTCCATTTTTCCGAAAGCTTCCGCTTAGTGACCTTGCTTCAAATCAAGGTCTCTACGTTGCTGGAGGGGTACTTAGACCAGGAGACCACTTGGGACCTGGAGCACACACTACATCAGCAATGAGACTCCTGATGTCTGTTCTTCTAAGTGCAAGTGCAGTACTAATACTACTAGCAGTCTACATGCTAGTTCGTGGTCGTATTGGTAATCATGGGCTGATGGCAGATGATACTTGGGAAATGACTTTTTATCAGAAGCTTGAATTCTCTGTCGACGACGTTGTTCGAAATCTAACATCAGCTAATGTCATAGGCACTGGCAGCTCCGGAGTTGTGTACAGGGTGACCCTTCCAAATGGGGAGATGATAGCGGTAAAGAAGATGTGGTCATCAGAAGAGTCGGGTGCATTCAATTCTGAAATTCGGACACTCGGTTCAATCAGACACCGAAACATTGTCCGACTTCTAGGCTGGTGTTCAAACAAGAATTTGAAGTTGCTTTTCTATGATTACCTCCCAAATGGAAGCTTGAGCTCACTCCTTCACGGTGCTGGTAAGGGAGGAGCAGAATGGGAAGCTAGATATGATGTTTTGCTAGGTGTGGCACATGCACTAGCGTACCTGCACCATGATTCTCTGCCACCAATTCTACATGGGGATGTTAAAGCCATGAATGTGCTGTTAGGACCAGGCTATGAACCTTACCTAGCTGACTTTGGCCTAGCAAGAGTGGTGAATAACAATTCTGATGATGATTTATGCAAGCCAAGTCAAAGACCTCAACTTGCTGGTTCTTATGGATATATGGCTCCAGGTACTTTTTGATTTTGGTTCAATCAAATTAGTTTTATTACTTCAATTAAATCAGTTTACTAAATCACTAATCATTCTAATTGTTCTTGGTTTTTTCCGCAGAGCATGCATCGATTCAGCGTATCACCGAGAAAAGCGATGTGTACAGTTTCGGTGTGGTGCTTTTAGAGGTTTTGACAGGAAGGCATCCATTAGACCCAACTTTGCCTGGTGGTGCACCTCTGGTTCAGTGGGTTAGGGAACACTTGGCTAACAAGAAAGATCCAGCTGACATTCTTGATTCAAAGCTTAGAGGGAGAGCTGACCCTGCAATGCATGAAATGCTCCAAACATTAGCAGTTTCCTTCCTCTGCATCAGCACTCGAGCTGATGATCGTCCGATGATGAAGGACGTCATTGCGATGCTAAAGGAGATTCGGCATGTCGAGACCATACGGCCAGAACCTGACCTGTCCAAGGGCGTTAATTTGGCAGCTGTTCGCTCATCACCTCCTCCTGCTAGGATTGTAGTTTCACAAGGATCTTCTAACTGTTCCTTTGCCTTCTCAGATGACTCAATCTAATATGAATAAAGGCAAAAATAAGGTTCAAGTGCTTCAGTCCATAGAAGGATCAAGAATCCACTAAATGTGCAACCACAGTGGGAATTTTTAGTGCAATTTTACCCTTTTGAATTGTAATTTTCACTATATATGATGTTGTAGATTGTAATACTGATTCATTAGAGTAAATTCAGTCAATTAAGTACAATAACAAATGTAACAAAAATAAGAACTTCTGGGGCTCATAGAGGGTTAGATTGAAAGATGTTTGATATCTCCAATACTAGAGGTGGATTGGATGATCTTGGATTGGCAACTGTTATTTAGTGGCAAGAGAATGACTGCAGGGTATGTGGAAGCTGGACCAATGATTGGTTCTTTTGGATCTATGTAATTAGAATTTATTGTCAAGTAATGGATTCTCCTTCTCTCTCTTTCTCTGACACATAATAAAACCAGTCTTTCCAGCAGAGCTCACATGGACCCACGTTTCTTACATCACATGACCATGTGCTGTCTGAGAGAGACTTTCCAGCAATGAACAAGAAAAAACTCTTACAAAAGCCTAACTAAACTTACCTTCGTTTAGAAGAGACTGTGTGTCTTAACTCAGAAGCACATGCACAAGCAGGACCATCGTATCTATTTATAAATAGGAAGATAATGATTTATAAACAACTGTTGCTCACATGCAAAAGGTTTTGAGACCCACATAAAAATTATAGTAGTCTGGAGAGAGACCTAAGCCAATCCAATCTTTGTCTAATAGTAGTAATTTACAAGTTCCAGTAACATCTGTCAACAGTCATAAAATTGAGGCAAGGGAGTAGGGTGGTGGTTGGTAATTTTTGCTTCAAGGGCAAATCAGAAGAGTTGACATATAAACCAACACAAACACGAAGATCTCAATGAATTTTTTTTGCACTTTCATGGATGCATGAATATTCCCATTATCAGTAAAAACTGTGTAGATCTCCTAATCTCTAGTTGTTCCACTTGCTGCTTTGTCTTGGAGGCTGTCTTCATTCAGGTGGACTTCATTCTACAAGATGTGATGGCACTAGGGTACGCTGACGCAACATGAAACTTTGAACAGCAAGAGTTGTAGTGTCCAGCATTTTGGCCACAGCCATTGTGTGCTAATGGGGACAGTAATTCTATCCACATTAAGCGACTTACAGTTCAAGTGACCAGATGGACCATTAGCTAATTTGGGAATGGCCCGCAATCCTTATGTGGAATCAGGAATGGCTCTTTTTGTGCTCTAGGAGGTATGCAGAGATTCTAGCTTCTTCAGTACAAAATTAACGACATCCCAATTGAAACCACGATACTGAAGCCAACGAATGAGTCTTGATTTTCGTGTGTCTTTGGGAACATCCTGACCTCGAAGCCATTGTTTTGAAGCCTGAACCAATAGCTGATCCATAGAAATCTTTGACAATCCCACTTTTGAATCTTGTTCATCAGAGTCATCATCCTCAAAAACCAGTTTTAGTGCCTTGTCTGCATCAGCTTCACTCACTCCTTTGTTGGACAATGCCTGGTCAAACAATTACACTCCAATACTAAGTAGTCAACACATTTGTCATTCCAATAACAGAAACTAAAAATATTCATGATCTTTCCTTCTTTCTTTTCCCTAGTTTTCTTGTATCCTGTTGGTAAAATGCAATAACTGGAATTATCCACTAAAGGCCTAGCAAACTAACACTCAATGATCTTATCATATCAATAAAGAGCCATAAATATGAATACCGGTCTCTTGCAACTAGCTAGGAGCCATTGAATTATATGACATATTAATAACATAAAATTTCAAGTTCAAGTCAGATTGCTTCGCTGCAGTGTACTTTATCAGCATTTCACCAACTATTCTTGTAACCTGCTCCTTCATACACCTGCCTCTCTTGGCCAGCAATCTCAGAAAAACAAACTAGCAAAACTTTTAAGACCAAACCATGATTGTTATATTTTGACTCTTCCTCTAAAGATACCATTCCAAATCAAGTTTGCCAAATAAATGAATTCAGGAGTCGTGAGATATTGCAGTAGATGCCTAGGGCCCTATAGCTACTAAGTATAATTTCTTTTTTTAAAAAAAAAAAAAACAGAAAAAAATGGAGAGACATTTATCAGGTGACAGAAAGTGAAACTGAACGTGAAGCTAACCGAAAAAGGGACAAAATATAATGATAGTATTATGTGTATTATCTACACAGTTCATTGTTTAGACTGTTTCACAGGAAAGGATGAAATAAGAGAAATAGCTTACTTTCTTGATCCGCCTAGGTCCCCAGGTTGAGGAAGACCATCTAGATCGAGAAAATGTTTCTGCATACAAGCCATCATTGATTAACCCTCTGCAACAAAAAGAAAAGATCAACTTCTAGAGGACATCCACAAAGGTCTAATATACATTTCAATGCTTGCGGAAGCACAAAAATTCCTCAGTGAAACGAGAAAATGTCATCAAATATTAAAAGTGCATGGTTAACAAGAACATGGGAACACATAAAGACAGCCCGGAAAAAAGCTTCAAAAAACAAGGTCAGTAATGCACCTGCTCTGGAAATCACTTATCATTGCCTCCACAATATCAAGAGCAAATCTCTTTCCAAGCAGTTTCTTTTTCAGTTCGACTGCTGTATATGCTCTGTGAGGAAAGTAAACAAGCTTCAGGTGATAGGTCCATACAGATATATGTGTCACTAAGAATATAAGCAGTCAAAAAAAAAAAAAAATCTCCCTTCTTTATTTAAAACTATCCAAGCAATTCAAGATAATCAGATCTCAAACTACAATGGTGGTTAGCTAACAGGATGGAACATGAGAATTCAAGGAGATTGAGATCTCTGGTCTTTACATTTTGTTTGCTTTTTTGAAGACTAAATAACCATGGGAGTTTACAACCATGAAATATGTTGCTGCAGCGAGTATAGAAATTTCATGGGTAATTATTACAAATTGTACTGCTGTTTGAGACATATGAAAGGAAAATGTCATGAAGGTATTCCAATTGCCAGCATATGATTGCCAGTAGGAAAGAATCACTTGAATTGCAAAACTCAAATGTTGCATTTCTAACAACCAATAAACACTAGCAACGAAGCAATAAAATTAAAACTATGCTTGAACCTTCTCGCAAGTAAACCAACAGCCGCCTTCTCAGCATCTTGCATAATTTTACGCACTATCATGCTCTCATTAGAAATATCCTTTTCTTGTCGCACTACTCCCTCTTCAACATCCTCTTCAGGCTCTCCCATGAGTTGATGACTTGTGGGCCCCAATTCATGATTGATTTTTTCTTCTAACTGTGAGAATGCTGTTACCTCTTGAGCATTTTGCTTGACTGATGATAAAAAGTTGAAGTTGAACTCAGTGCGAGAAAAGGTAAAAAGTATACAGAACACGCAGCTACACATGCAAAACATTGTTAATGATGGTATTTTACTGATGCTTGCTTATAATGAACTTACACAGAGAGGACATGGGTGAGGCTATCAGATTGTCATGTTAGACATTCCCATATAGTTTTTATCAACAACAGCCCGGGGATCACCTATAGGAAACTGTGAGAACAAAAACTAAGATAACCACTTAAAGTCTTATTAACCAATTGACTATGTATGGCTTTAAACTGCATATAACCAGATAGCTAGTTACTAAATCATTCTAAAAGCTCGTGCTTATGGAAGCACACAGTGCTGGTAGTGATATATGCATCCAATGGCACAAACCCGATTGTCTCTTCAATTATAGAGCAAGTGGGTGAATGTAACAGCTGGAACCTCATAGATGCATAAGCTTTCCAAATCATCACTGATAATTAAAATCCTAACAACATAAACCCATGTCACATAAATACAAGATACTAATCAATAATTAACATTCAATTAATTAACAAAATGACCTTGTCGAGCATCATCAAACGACTGGCTCTCATTGCATATTTGCTTTCGATTATTCATCTTCTCATTCAAACCAAAATTTCCTCTTACACGAACCACGTTTTTGTCAAAATGCCTGTTCTCAGAACTCTTCACAGGCAAAGAATTCTCACATACTCTCTTCTCGTTAACCTTTTGACCTTTTGCCTTGTCATTCAAACCAGAATTTCCTCTTGCACTGTCCAAGTTTTTACGAAATACCCTCTTTTCATTACCTTTCAGAGGCAAAGAATTCTCTATCTCATCACTCTTTGAATACCTCTTAGGAGTGTATCTAACTGGAACCGATGAGCTATTAAACTCCCTTCCTTTTAAACACAGTATAGCATTGTTTCTCTTTACCCTACAAAACGTCAAAAACATGTCATTTTAACTGACAAATCACTTCCAGTTTTTCATAACTGCAAAAATAAATTAGAATAAATCAAAATTTTACATATAATTGTTGCCTCAGTTCTTTAGCTGATTAAAAATTTCTAATTTTTAACCTTTTCTCCCCAGAAAATCCAAACTTTATCACTTTAACTCACTAAACCAAAGCCCACTTTTACTATAACCAAAAATAAATAAATCAACACTATAACATAATTAGAGACTAATTATTTTTAGCGCGATTAAAAACTTTGAATCTTTAAGCTTAAAATCACAAACTCACCAAAATAAATGGGAAAATAAATCAAAACTGCTGATTATTTGTTAAAAAAAGAGGGAAATTTTGGTAAAATACAGAATTTGTTTTCCTTTCCTTCATTTTCTCAGCAACCAAACAGAAGGGTAAGAGAAATTGAGAGAAGGGTCTTACAATTGGACAAAGGGCACGCGAAATTGAAGAGATAATGAGATTTTGGAGGCGAGGTTTCCCGCCAAGATTGACATTTTGGAGTTCGGTTTTGAAATTTTTTACAGAACAAATTGCTAAAACCCTAATTTAGAAAGGGGTTTTGCTTGAATGGAGCGTAGTGACATTGTTTTGTAAAGGCGCGTGGATGGTGACTCTTTAAGATTAATGTAGATAATTAACGTACATGGCGGGAAGGATCTTATTATTATTATTATTATTATTATTATTATTATTATTCTCTCTCTTTTTTTCTTTTTTTTTTTTTTTTAAGAATGATTTTTATTTTTCATTTTAATTCCTTTTCAAGAATGTTTTTAACACATAACAGGAAAAAAAATTGCAAGAGAAAATGTCTTTTTAGATATTTTTTTAATAACAAAAAAAATATTTATATTGATATCGATATAATTTCATCATAAAATACGTATCAGATTTATATATTAAATAAATTTTTTGGACATATAAACAATTAGATTCGTGATATAAGTTTATAATGTTATTGTAACATACTAGAATTACTGTAACATTATATTAAAATATATTAGATGGATTATTATCATAAAATTTTCAAATAATTTAGTTAATTTATTTAACCTTTTGCAATGTCATTATAAATGACAAGAAAAGGTGATATTAACATGATTATAACACTAAGCTCATCTTATAAATTAACATGATTAGCTTAAAACCTAAGGGATCATGCTTTGTTTTCTTAATATCAAAGTTCAAACTCTGTGACAACAAAATTCTAAACGTGAATGATTTATAACCAAAAATTTATTTCGTACTAAGGCAGTGGCATCATCAAAAGAAGTTGGGTTGAATTGCATGAATCTGCATCAAGGTTCTTTTCTATTGGGCTAGTTTTGTTAGGGTTCATCAAAGATTTTTTTGGGTCTTGACCTTTGAATTTAGTTGGCCTCAAATCTATATGCAAAGGTGAGTCTATTGAGTTTTGACCTCTTATGGAATGAAATAGGGTTTACTCACATTTGTATTTATCATGTATTTTTTAAAAAAATTTAATTAAAATTCTTTATTTTTAAAATTTTTTTTACTTCAAACTCTTTATTATAATACCATTAATCAGCAATCGTTATGTTATTTTTATATAATGTTACTTACAATTTTTGATTAGTATTATTATAACGGAAAGTTTAAAGTATGTCGTTTTAAAGAATAAAAAATTTTATTTAAGTTAAAAAAAATTTCAATCGTTTCAATTAAATAAAATCGAAGAATAGTATTCAAATATGGAGAAAATCGAAATGAAATACGTACATCTTTGTGAAAACAAAAGGGAAGAAAAGGAAGGCATTTAGTTCAGATTCAGCCTCTATTTTTTATTTTTTATTTTTGGGAGGAAAAGAACCAATAAACTCATGCTTTCAGAACAATTTTGATTTAGAATTCTGATTCGTTAGGAAAATCTCATGCTTCTATTAACCAATATTGCAAAACATTTTTGGCCTTTTTTTTTCTGTCAGTATCAAATGCATGCATTTCAGCCTAAAAAAATTATGTTTTTGACCGTTTAACAACAATAGTACTGATTTCAACTGCATTAATCAAACAGCACAAAGCACAAACATAAAAACATAAAAAAGCTTCTCATTAGTCTAATAGAACAGAAAATATTAACAACAGTGTAATTAAAGATCACACCCTCCCTACTCAGATTTCCAAGCATTTATGACATGGAAAAACTCAGGTGGGGAAGGCCTCTCCTTTGGTGAATCATACATGCCACCAGCATTGCCATTGCAATGTCTACCGCTTCCAACTCTATCATCCCCACCTTCTTGTCCTGCTGGCTTCAGAATGAACAATCCATGACTTGTGCTCGAGCCACTAAACAACCAATCATGAACATCCCAGAAAATCTGCACCCCCACATCATTCACTTTCACATTCTCATTGCCTCGAAATCTCCAATTCAAATTCATTACTCGAATCACCTCGAATCCGTCTACGCTAATCCCCATTTCGGGATCACCGAGTCCTGATAAAGAAAATTCAATGACAAGATCATGTTCTGTCTTGTCTTTTTGGAACATTGCTGTGGTACAGAATGATCTCTTCCCATACACATTTTCTTTCTTGCACAACAAGATAGGTTCTGTCAGTGATGGTCTCTTTTTGGTTCTCTTGAAAGCGTCCATCTTCATGTCTCCAAGCAATAAAACCACCTCTTCATTGTAGACCAAAGCGACATAGTAATCTGAAGAGGGCTCAGGATGGTTTGAGAATTTCGCTTGTCGAAAATCCCAGTAAAGGTCTACTCTTTTTCCATCTACTTCAAAGGATTTTAGACCCTTTTTGCCCCAGAACTGCCAAGTCTTTATGTCAATCTTGCAAGTGTAATGACTTTCATCCGAAGGATTTTCTACACTAATGCTAAGAGAACAATTCATAACATTCTTGCTCCATGTAACTGTCACATTACTGCACAATTCTGCTACCTCGGCGGTGTAGATGTAAGTGACAGAGGTTTGAGGAGATTTGTTTGTTGTATGTTCTTCATTTTCTTTCTCCGTGGACGACGGTTTCGGATAATTTGTTGGCTCAGCTCCAGGAAGATGAGCAAACATAATGTAAGATGTAATGAAGGCCTTTCTATCTGGACAAATTAGGCCTTGAGCTTGCAGATGTGGTGCTGAGACCAGCTACCCATTTCAATTTCGATAAAAGGATTAAGCCCCAAAAGCTGTTCTTCTGCAAGTATTTGTGATTTTTTCAATGCACATGATTTGCAAAGCTACCTGCAAGAGAGAAACAATATACTACCACAGGTCATATTTCCTCAAAGAGATATTTATCAACTTTCTGAAGAAATCTAATAACATGCAATTTTTCTTTGAGAAGTACAGAAAGGGTGGTTACCTTGGCCTAAATTACATTGACAGACTGATATCACACGTTGAATCTGATCTGATTCTAGATGGCGATTGAAGGCAAAGAACGTAACATGTTTAAGAGACAGAGAGAAACTCTGTAAGGAATTTGCAGGAATCAAAATATATTTTGTAGGACACTCTGGAAACTCATGAAAATCTGATATCAAGAAATTATGATGGAGAAAACAGGCATTTTAGCTAAGTTTTAGAAATGCAACTATTCTGAGGCTGTCAAAGATAAGGCTAAAACAGAAATATTCTTCTGCAGTTTTGACTGAATGTAGTTATTGTCCATCAATTTTAAGCCAAGCTGTTTAGTTGGCTAAATTTGGCTAAATTTGGCTATTCTGGTACTACCCGTATCAGGATTTTGCAACTATCTTTAGCAAGTGAAATTTTTTCTCAAATTCTTGTTAGAATGATTGTTATAACTTCCAATAAAATCCCAGTTGAGATGAATTTATGCTGGTTTGGCTATAGGTTCCCTTTGGTCTTTTCCTTGATCTTGTAATTCTTCCAACAACAAGAAACCAAAAGATTTTGTTTTTCTTCTATTTGTTTTGAAGGTAGGAAGGATAACGTTTGAAGCCGAGTCTCCCACCCCTTCCTCCTGTTTTATAGGGTAGAATACTTCCTTTTTCTTGGTTAAATTACACATTTTCCATGCCATTAATAGCTCCTAAGTTTTAGGCTAGAGCATTAGACCTTTTCATTTCGAACAGGTGACGAAAGAACAACAGACAGTTAACAAAAATGTCCTTAGCAAATGAATTCATTCCTTCTGTTTGTTTTAACAATATTTCTTTCCACAGAAAGAAAATTTACATAGCTGTGTAAGAAAATTTTAGAATATCAAGCGAAGCAAACAAGCTAGGATTAAGTGATAGGAAAATGAACTACTGGATGATGCTGGAACGTGTAGCAAATATCCTGAAATGGAGATAATAGCCGGTACAAGATGAATTCACACTGACAAAATCCTCGACGTTGTAGAAAGATCAGTGCATGTAATAACCAGAACACATAAAAGATATATATATTCAAGTACTGAGCATCAGTATCATGACTTATAAATTACATGAAAATTTGCCAGTGTAGGATATACGGAAAGCCAGTCATCTGGACTAACATCCTCAAAATCCTCTTAAAAGAAGACAAAACCGGTATTCAAACAAGAACAGTCACTATACAACATGTGGAAAATATTAATGGAAGTAAATTCATCCTATACACTGTCAATCCTCAAGGTAAAATCATGAACTTTCCGCGAGGAGTTGATCGACTCCTTCTGAATTCAGGCGTAGAGGTGTTTCCGCCTTCTTTCACATTATGAGATACATTATTTGGAACTTTGTTTTCGTGTTTTCCAGCTATTAAGGGTTCCACAACTTGGACAACTCTGCAAATCATTGACATTTCTAATGTTGTGAACACAAACATATAGATATACCAATCTTTACGGAAAAGGGGGAAAAGAACATCTCTACGATAAGGCTTCGAAAGGAACAACTTTAATCATACCTTGGTTCGAGAATCTGAGAGTTCCTTGAGAAGTTCCTCTGAAGCTTCTTCACCTTTAAAGCGCCTATTGTTGGAGACACAGGGAGCAAATGCTCATTTTCTGGCTCCGAAAAGTCACTCTTTCTTGGCCCCTCTATCGTTTCGCCAGCATCCATATCGGAGAGCATTGTTGTCCCAGCATCAAACTTATTGAACTTTGCAGGAAGTTGTTGCTTTGCCTTAACCTTGCTTTCATTTTTGCTTTTTCTAATACCTCCTTGTCTTATATTAAGAGCTTGCCTAAACTGCTCCTCTTCATGTTCTGGGTATACTCTCCTGGTGCTAACCTTTTGGAGGTTGTAAAATGCACTGGAGATGTTATCCTGCTTCACCGCTTCTTGCGAGCCTATATACGGACCCTTTGAGCTGATATCTGCTGATGGGATCACTGGAATTGCAGAAATGGATTTGGTGACAGGCACTCTAGCAGGAAATGGTACTCTTGCAACTGGTTGATTCTCAACAGTCTCCTTGACCCTGCTTCTACTGTGGGCTCCTCTATCTGTCGAGATTGATCTCCTAACAGGAGGGGACGGTGACCTTGGTTTTGTGGAGCTCGCTAACCTTTCTTCTCCTTGGAAAGGAATCCTTGGTAATGTTTCCTTGTCTGTTAGTGAAGAAGGAAATCTTGATCTCCTTTGCTTACCCGAAGAACAACTTCTAGCCTGAAAATCAAAATCAACCACCCCAGGATATTCCTTAAGAACAGAAGTAACTACAGATTACAGCAAATAAAATAGTCTCTTGTTTTCTTTTACCTCTGAGCTTCTAGTGTCATCATTTGACCTTTGAGATGTCTCAGGTTTGAAGTTGGCACTTGTACCATATCTTGGGACATTGAAAGGAGAAACTGCTCTTGTTCTTTGAGATTCTGTTGTGCTTCTATTACTACCACCTTTGATTTGCTCCATTTCAGCTTCCTTTCTCTCCAGTGCTTGTCTAAGATTTGATATCTAGACATAGAAATAAGCACCAAATAAATTTCCCTTACTATTCCAACATATTTTATATTTGAATCTAACTGCACAAACAAGTGGAGAAAAAGTAAACCTCTTCTTTCAGCTCTCGGATTTCTCCAGTTTCTTTGTTCGATCTAGCTGCCCCAAGTTCTATAGATGCAACTCTCTCAGCAAACTTCAGGGTGCTAATTGTCTCCCCAATAGAATTAAGTTCAGGATTTATATGTACAAACATCAATGTTTTAGCATGCCCACCTAAAAATAAAAAGAAATAATAAGAACAATGTAACAAGGAATAATAATTGAAAGGAAATGGTTGCAAGTTGATCAGATGAGAACCTAAAGAATCCTGCAGTACTTGTGTAAGTTTGCTGTTTCTGTAGGGAACATGTTGACTCTTCTGTGCAAGAGCAGAGATGACATCTCCCAACGCGGAGAGAGACCGATTAATATGTTGAGCTTCTTTCAATCTCTCACCAGCAGCTTCTGATTTATCCACTCTTTCACTTCCAGCTAAATCTACTAGATGTAGGCAGCCTTTAAGAATTGATCCAGAAACTAGCTCTTTTCCATAGACATGAACTGTCAGAACACTGCCGCAAACCAGAACCATTACAATGAATTCATACTTGAAGGGTGAATTTTAAACTCTACTAGAAAAAAATGTTCATACCTATGAGATCGACTGCTTCGCTCGTTCAGAGCTGTCGCACCAACCGCACGATTTCTCTGACCAATTTTCATTAGATCAAGAACATCTTGTGTACTTGAAACTGGAATCCAGCTTGCATCAGGTACATTAAGTCCATTCAGCTGGGAATTGTTACGTATGTCTAATGTATGCATAGTTAAGGTACATCAATTCTTCGAAGCAGAAATTCGGCTAAAACTGTTATGAGCAATCATCATGGTATAAAGTAAAATGCATATAAAGTCATTTTTCAAGGATATCTTCTGTTGGAGCCATCACTGACTAACAGGTCTCTCACTTGTTCATTATATATTTCTATCATCTGAACTCCAACTTCGTACTTAACGAGATCTCCCCTCGTCTTCGAAATCTGAAATAAGTCGCGCAGGGCTCGATAGTTCACACCCCATGTTTGTTTGCTAGTGAGATCAGGGCCACTCTGCCAGAATTCAAACAAAAAAATTGAATTGCATAACTACATAATTAATACTCTTGAAAATGTTGCGAGTTAAGAACTCAACATCTATGGTATACCATTGTATATGTCTTCCCTGATCCGGTCTGTCCATATGCAAAGATGCAGACATTATAGCCATCTAAAACCGACCGAACCAAAGGTTGAGTATCCACATATATTTGTTCTGCAAATAAAAATGAAAATCATTAATATTTCAGAAAACCTGTGGATAAAAAGGACAGGATGTAGCTCAAAAATGAGTTTGCATAATAGGCTTCCTGATAAGAAACTACATCTATATTTCTCTTGAAGTCCATTGAGCATATGATTGCTTCATGAAGGGTTACAGAACCTTAAGTGACCACCATCACACAATAATGTTACAAGAAAGATATCATACCTTGAGTGACATTTGTTCCAAATACTTTGTTGAAGGAAAACACCTTTCTTGCTTCTTTCCCATTCTTAAGAGGATTAACAATCATGATATTTCCGTTTTCCCCAATATAGTCAACAATAGATTGCCCATGTGATTGCCCTGGTAAGAAGGGCCTAACTCTACAGTAGACCCTGATTGTTCCTGCTCAGAAAAGAGATGTCACTCACTATCTCATAAGATGCAGAATTTTTAAATTGTACAGAACAGAAAGAAGAATTGGTCACCTTTAAGGTCTTGTACTTGATTGTAAAGTTCGCGGTTTTCCTCTAGAACTTGATGATAAGAAGAAGATGCTGCTTCAAGGTCCTTGATATGGTGCTCTGAGGCAATAAAAGTCAGAATGTTTCAAGGTCAAGAACACCATTCTAAATAAATAAGGAAGCTTCAGAGATTGACATAAGAAATTTTAATGTTCTCACCAAGTCTACCGACTTCTTTATCCCAACCTTCTTGAATTTGTTTCACTTGTCGCCTCATCTCTTTGTAATGAAATCTCAGCTCCTGAAGGTAACAATTATGTCAGTATAAACAAAAACATACAATGAAAAAGAAGTTGATTTTTTTTTTTTTTTTTGTAGAATGACCAAAGGAGTAATCTTCTAATAGGCAAACATTCAAACCTCAAGCTGTTTCTGATGAAGATCAATTACTTCCGCGTGACCAGACGAGTTGCTAACGATTTGCCGAATGGTTTCTTTTTTCCCACCACAGACACAAAACTTGGAGAAATCACTTGAAGCCAAACTAGTTCTTTGTCTAAGATATTGTGAAATGGCTTCTATGAATTCAGTCTTTGATAGGGAACCGATATCACCCTTCAATATTTTCTTGAGAAATAGTCCAAGCTGCCAGTAAATACATATCAATCTTAGGGCATCCTTTTAGATAGAACTGGAAAAGAATACGCAGTGAGACTCCGAAATTCTTATTACCTGTGTGCCCTGAGAAACAAGCAATGCTGAGAAATCCTTAACTACCTTGCTGAACAAAGTATCTATTACCTGCAATTTTTCCACCCATAAAATCACATCAGATTCCATACAGTAATAGAATTCACTGGCAACAAAACTGTCTGGTTTCCGATTCGCATTGTCAGATTTCATTCCCATATTAGATAGCTTGAAGTCAGGTCTGATCATTTGTATACTATGGAAAACAAACTCAAAAGGGTCTTACCTACCATTCCATTCAAAGGCAGCTCTTCAATCCCATTGCTCTCCTTAAGGTAAGCTTGTAGAAGTCTGAGCCCAAAATGATCGAAAAGAAAGGCCAGAGCATTGGCAGTTTTTGTTTCTTCATTTGCGACCTCATCAGAAAGATGAAGAAACTCTAATAGTTGTTCATATTGAGACGATTCAGATTCATCAACAGACTCATCAGCACTTTCACTGCCAACCAAAGAAGATGGCGATCCCTTCGGGAAGGATACAATTCTGACCAACCCTCCATATCTCCATACACCAATTCCACCAGCCTGCTTCCACTCATAAAATCCTTTCAGACAGAGAATGCAATCTACAACCTTACTCGACGAGCCTCCCTGTACACCCAAGATTTCAAACAAAAAAAATGCATAACTAGTAGAGACATTGGACAACGAATAAAGCACAAAAGATGTAAGAAAATAGAGTTCCACCTTTTATGCTATGATAAATGTATTGTGAGAACTACACTTGGAACAGCAGATCATGGAAAACTAGAACTTGATTAGCAAATTCCAGTGCACATAAAACATTCTAGAATTTATTTTTAGGATAATATCAGACCTTCTCTAAGTCAGATGCTTCAAAAGTCAAAAGCTTCATATCTTTAACAGCCATTAAAAAATTCCTCATGTTCTCAAAGTACTGAATTGCCGACTGTGCTGCTCCTTCTGTTGACTGCACTGTGAGAATCGGAGTTTCCACCACCTATTTCAATTTCAAAGATGAAAAAACCACCATCAAAATCAGAAGAAACAATCAAGATTTCTATCCTAATTATGCCATCAGAATATTATCATCTGAACTCGTCTCTAAGCTTATAGAACTTGCCAAGTTCTGACTAGAAATACTCATATGAAAGCATTTTTCACGTCTTGTCACGGTAGAGCATATGCCAGTTTCATCCACGAATCTAATAGCCTAATAGTTGTCAATGCAATCTTCCATCTATTAAAAATGTTTCTGCATATAGAAATACTAATACTGATGCAGGTTTTAAAGAAACCAGTACCTTCAGAACAGCACCAGGATTGACTGTGTTCAGGACATTGCAGAGAATGAGGCCATTTCTTAGTGCTAGGCAAAACTCTTCCTCTGAAGGTTCTTTGGGCAGGGTTCTTGATGCTCCCTTGTCCATTTGCCTCAGCCATTCTGCTGCTTGGTACCTCCTTGAAGCTGAGACACATGAACAATAGGTGTTGCAGTAAGATTTTCGAGCCCATTTTCGCAATTAGTTTGCTGCACTAAATTGTATCAAATTCAAACATAGTTTAGAAAAGAAAAGAAAAAACTGAAAAATGGCCAATAATTTCTTTATTGTTATTTTTCTTTCCAATTAAAATTCTTAACAGAACTTAAAGGTGAACATGGCCCCCTCCTTCTTACTATTGTTTAGCCAGTGAACTCCTGGCCAAATGATCCTAGCTGCAATTTGGACTTTACATCTTGGTGGTGTTTCTTTATGCCTCTACCAACCTTGCCTTTTCATATATATAGTCCTAAATATCAAAAATTGCTAGGGAATATACTCCCTCTTCTTTGGCACTATAAAATTCCATAATTCTAAGGTGTGGTTGGTGAAAATAGCAGCTGTATAAAATGTGTCAGGACATGGTTTTTTTCAGTATCAGTAAATACACACTTCATCATCATTAGCATTTCAAAAAACAAACCTTCTGAAATTCAAATCATGTGTTTTTCAAATTCCAGCCTTTACGATAGCCTCCTTCCTACTTTCTAGAGGAGAGTATCTATTGGCTAAATTTTCAACAGCATCAAACTACGGGTTTTCGATACAAGAAACGTTTCAGATTGTGACAGAACATCAATGTAACGAGACGTGATCCATGTTTTAGGCCCTTTATTGTAATAAGATTTCAATGTTTCGTTGCTTACACCAGAAAAAGGATGATCATGAGGGCAGGTCTATTTCCAAATAATCAAAGATTTTTCTCAAAAGAAAAGCCAGTTTCTTTCGGCTACCAAAAACGAAAGTGGGGCTAATTTGGACCCACTTCAACACAAATGATGAATTCCAGTTTCTTTTCAACTCTATGGGATCACCCACATTCTGCCTTTCATCATGATATCCTGCACAATCTTTTATTCAACTTTTTTTAAGCAAAGGAAAATCATTATATGGCCACTCAAAAATTATAAAAGAAATAGTGGACAAAAATTCAACAAGCTAGGTGAAAACTATAGTAACCATGAAACCTGCAAAAGAGACAACATTGGAGGAAGAATCTAAGTGAATTTGTGATGGTAGAACATGGAACATTAGCATTTCTTACCTGCTTCTTCAGCTTTTCTTTGAGCCAATTCGTGGTCGTTGATAATCTCCTCAGTGTAAGAAGCCTCATTGCTGGAAATCAAACCCTTTGACCCTCTCAGATTCTTGCAAGGAGAGGTGAACATGGAGCCATTGTTGGTTTCCTGTGGCATCTTTATGCCTCGGTACTCTCACCAGGACGTACTACTCTTTATCACTCCTAAAACAGAACACAGAATTTGATAGAAACCTGATCAGACCATTTAAAAGAAGTTGGTGAGAAATTCAAATCTGGAAAGTACAATTCCAAGTTTACTGGAGCAGCAAGTTTGGTAAGAACTTAATGTGATGCTCGTTAAGAAAAACCATAACAAGAACATTTAACACATAAACAAAAGTTGGTAAGAAATATAATGCTCAAAAAGAAAGAACATCTGATAAATTTGGAAAGGACACACAGAAGATTATCATGGCTCCTACGCATGGATGACATGCACAAAACTGAAGAAATGGTCAGGACTACACTTGAAAAGAAACATCAAGTCTGCACCTTTAAAAAGTCTGCACCTTTAAAGAGTCTTCTTCAAATTCAGCAAATTCAACAAGTTGTGTGGGGTTTTGAGCTATATAAATGTGGAGCAGCAGATCCAATGTTGTTAACCAGGTATATTTGAGGTTGAAGGGAACAAGGTTCTCGTGTGTAGTGAAGGAGAGAGCATTCAAAAATACCATATGATAGGCATTAAATGCTCTACTGCTTTGCAAGAGCGACACAAGAGAAAGAGAGAGAGTGTCTAATCATGAAGAGAAAATAGAAAAACCTCATAAATTCAAACGTTAGTCTTGTGTCTCACTCCTTTTGGACCTTTGAAAAAATATTAATGCAAATTGCATGTTCTTTTCCTTTTACCATTGGAGTAAATTATAAATTAGTCCCTATAGTTTTAAGAAACAAATTAATTAGTCCTTTTTTGTTTTGACAGTTAATTATTTAATCTTTTGACCAGCATTAATCATGCTTAATTTATTTTAATATCTTCGAAATCTTTTCATAATATCAATATATTTTTTAAAACAAATTAGAAAAAGAACATAAAATTGATAAAAATAACTTAATTTTTAATTTTTTAAACAAAAAAGACTAATTAATATATTTTATTATGTAACTTAGAACCTTGATCTATTAAAACTAATTCAATCAGATACACATAAATAATTGTATATCATATTTTTCTTCGTATCACTATGATTTCTAAGTTGCTAAATAAAATCCTAAGTTTTACAAAGTAAATTATAAATTATTTCCTCTAGTTTCAAGAAACAAAAATAATTAGTCTTTCTTATCTTAAAAACTAATTATCGAGTCTCTTAACCAAGTATTGACTATACTTAATTTAATATTATTTTATTTAAAAATATATTTTTTCTCATCAATTTTTTTATTTTTTTTATTTTTTTAAATAAAAATAAATAAATAAAAGATTGAGTTACAATAAATTTAAAAATATAAACACAAAATAATTAATTTTCAAAACAAGAGGTATTAATTAATTCAATTTTCGAAACTAGAAAGACTAATTTATAATTTAGTCAAGTTTTACAATTCCATCCCCCAATTTCACCAATGGTTTTAATTCCATCTCCCAATTTCACTAATGGTGTTAATTATCATATAATCTTTGTAAATATTTACTTTTAAAAAAAATATATAGCAATGCTTTGACTTGAAAATGGCATGCAATGAGACCAAATTAGATCATGACACACAAGTGTGGTCATTTCTGGGGCCCATAGATAGTTGGACTAGATGGCAAGATCTGGCCCAAATGATGGCATGGATTGCTTTTCAAAACTTTATATTATGATTTTGTTATGACTTTTTTTAAAAAAAAAATAATGTAATTGTGTCTTTTTCCTACTAGGTGACCGTTATGATAAATGTGCATGATTCCATGCCATGCAACTTTTTCTTTCTTTCTTTCTTCTTCCAATATTTGCAATGTTTTTGAACAGGATCATGGGTAGATAGTGGATCCAGAACATTTGATGTTCTTAGTGATTGTTGGTGTTAGTGTTGGTGATGATTAGGTTGTTTTTCTAAGAATCAAAAGAGTGATTGATGGATCTTAATTAATTTCCTTTTGAATTTACCAAGGACCCAACAAAATGCTCGGATAATTCATATCAACCAACGACATTTGACGTTAGGATTGATTCGTAGATTATAAAAGTAAAAATAATGTTAATGTAAAGTGTATATATTTTCTCTATTTTAAAAAAATTATATATATATATATATATATTTCAAAATATTTGTTTCGTCAAAATGTTAAGTAGTGTATTTTTCTAAAAAGTGTATGTATTTTTCTAAAATGTCACAGATTGAAACTCATTTTGTAAAAAAATTGTTCAAATATAATTCTTCAGAAAATGAAAATATAAGAAAATATAAACAAAAAAATGCTATTATTACATAAAAACTAATAATCTTATTAATCTATGTAAAAAGTCAAAGAGTACAAGCTCTTTGATAGAAAAGATTTTCATGAGCAAATTGTATGACTAATTTTCATAGTTTAGGTTGAAAATTTTGCCAAAAAAAAATAAAATAAACGCTTAATATATAGTTAAAGATAAAATTAACTCCATTAGAAATGTAAAGACAAATTGAAAAAATATATTTTTATATAAGAATAAATTGAGCTCTTAATCTTGTATTACTTTGACATCTTTGAAATTAAATAAAAATTGTTTGAAAATTATGGGGTCATTTTTTACTAGTGTGTGTGTTTTTTTTTTTTTGATAAATTAATTCAAAATAATTATTTATTTGTTTGTAGGTCCTTTGGGGTCAATGTCCTTTCTAATTCTACTGTTTTTTTCCTTAAAAATTAAATAACATGGGTTGGGATTCCTCCCTTGATTTGAGTGATTAATCTAGATGTTATCATCAAAGTAGTAGGTGTTTTTTAAATATATATATATATATATATATTCTGAGCAAGATGCTGTATGAGTGTCTAAACATGAGCTCCAACCATAAAAATTAGCTTCATTAATATATATATTTTCTTTTTCTTGTTAAGGGTATCCTAGGGTTTGGTGAAGAAGCAGAAAGGTAGGTGGGAAATGGCAGTAGATTCTCCTTCGGAAATTAAAGCACCATGAGCAAATTTATTAAAGTTCCTTTTGTCATTTTCTTGAATAGTAATTTTCTTTTTTAATGGGACATTGTTATGTCATTTTTCATACATAGAAATTAAATCTTTTTTTTTTAATAGAGATATAGACATCTAAATTTAGGTTAATGAGAAATTTCTTTTTTGCAAATCTATCCTTAAATCGGAAACTAAAATAATATATAGTTAGTTTTAAACCTTTTTTCCTTTGGAGTGGGTATCTCATGAATATTCATTTAATAACTAACGATGAACATATTTTGATGAGAGAAATAAATACAGCTCGGTTTACCAAAAATCATAAAAATAACTAATATAAACTTTTTATGACCCGAACAAATAACGTTAACGTACGTATCACTTGAATTAAGTTTTAGTTAATATCGATTTTGTTTCTTCTAAATAAAATAAATTAAAATAACTTCCCTTATTTATTATGAAATTGTTATAAGATTGGATGAAAAAAACAAAACTCTTAATGTCCGAAAAATAGATATTTTTAAAAATATATGAAAAACCATAAAACATTAAAGCACCATGAGCAAATTTATTATTATAAAATTCGATGAAAAACAAAACCTTCATGTTAATAAAATATTACAATATTTACTTTTATGTAACCTACCCTTCAAATTGATAATATTGAAGACATTTGATATATAAAACAAGTTTCTATAATATCTTCGAATCTTTCAAGTGGTTTCTACCATTTTTATCATAATTTTCCCTTTGAAAAAGGAATTAGCAAAAGCAAAAGACAGAAAAATGTTGTCTCATATAAAAAATTACAAACCATTTTTGTCTTGATGGAGCAGTTGTTGAAGTAATGGGGAGAGAATCATTTGTATATTTATAGTGGAAAAAACGTAAAAACCTAAGTATGGTTGGATATATTTTTTTTTTTTGAAAAGAAGAAGAGGCAAAGACGTGAGTCCTCTGTTTTTGAACGAGTCCTCTGTTTTAGAACGTTGGATCCCATAATTCAAATGATTGCAGAGGCAAACTTTTTTTGTGTCTTTCTACATTTTGTATCCCATTTCATGGACCACTTGGAAGAAGGTGAAGGTTCCTCCCTCCTTTATCTCTCTCTCTCTCTCTGTAGTTCTGTAATCCTTAATGCTTTACTTGCTTTTCTTAGGTCTCACCATACTTAAAGTTATGGCTTAGAGAAGACTTCTTTTGATGAATGTGATGAGGGTCAAAATTCTTACAGGAAAAAAAGAGTATGCAGTGCATAATCAAAGGCCAGTAACAGGAAATTTTCCTTTTGCTTTGAGGCATGGAAACCAAAAAAAGGCACTTGTTAATGGCTTTTTTTGCTTTTTTTTGTTAATGAAGAAACATCTTAATCATTATTTGTATCTTAAAAGTGCATGCCTCAATCTGTATTAATATAATACGGTGATATTTTATTACGTTTTTATATTTCTAATTGAATTGATTTTTATTCTTAAAAATATATTATGTATTTAATTTATTAAACTATCGAAATTAACCATACGATTTGCATATAAAAACCTTCTACTTAATTGGCTTACAAAAGTATTTTGAGAATAAAAATTAATCATGTACAAATTACGTGAATAATTTTGATAATTTAATCTGAAAATCTTCAACGCATATTTAATAATAAAATTAATTTAATGATTTAAGGATAGATTGGAGAATTACTTTATTATATAAAAGTAGATTGAGCTATTAATCCTATCTTAAAAATCAATTAAAAAGTTTATAATTTAATTTATGATTTTGGAGTCTTTTCGAGAGTAAGTTAATCTTTAGTTTCTGAGTTTTAAATACAATAATAATTAGTCTATTACATTTGAAAACTTAAAACTTAGTCCCTTGACTTTTATTGAGTCATTAATTGAGCATTGTCATTTGGAAAATTCGATTGGGTTTTATTTGAACTCTAATTATGTAGGGTTTTTTTTTTTATATATAAGAATTTAAATTGTTAAATGGTATATTTGAGATTAAGGAAAAATCAAAAG